TTCTTTATTTCCGTTCTATCGCGCTTTCTTTCCTCATCTCGATCGTTTTCGTCGTCGGTGCTGATCGTTCGGCGGCTACCTTTCTCTTTCTTTCTTCGCTTATTCTCTATCTCTCCTCCGTTCATCGATAACTATCAATAATGTATGTACAGAATATCTCGGACTCTTCTTGGATTAGGAAAGATCGAATGAAAAAGCGTTCTGAGAAGCGTCTGGATAGGAATCGCGGGAGAGGACAAGTGGATATCGTGAACCATAACCAGTGTATTCTGATTAGGGGAGGAGAGATAGAGTGGTACTGACTCGGCTGATGGACGTCCGTCTTTAAGAAACCAGACTCTGGACAACGTCTCGATGACGGAGTCTCGGAGGCGATGGCCTTCTCTCCTTTTCGTCCGTCACCGGACCAGCGGCACCGAAAACGAAAACGCTGTTACCGCCGCCACGGGACGCAGTGGCGGTTTTGTTGACGATTTGATGTGCACGCGCGAGGTATTAGTTGGCCACAAGCAAGTGCTGATATTGGCTGGCCGGATAGGGCGCGACCGAGCCGAGGCCGAAGTTGTTGAGGCCCTCGACCAGGGCACTCTTATCCTGCTGCTGCGCCGCGGCGGCCGCGCCAGCGTTGACGTTGCCGTTGGTTGTCGCAGAGCCGATTGGACCAAGATTACCGGTGCCAGCGCTACCGGTGCCCTGGGTACCTGCTCCAGCGCTGGTGGTGCCGTTTACAGAGCCGCCAGTACCGGCGCCAGTACCATTCATGCCGCCGCCGTAGAACTGATGGCCAGCCAAGGTTGTCGGGTCGAGGTACGATGATGGGAATTTGGTGCCGGCGTAGAGATCGGCCGGCAGATAGCCACCGTGGCTCGCCGACGAGTCGAAGATGTTGCGAGGGGGGAACTGCGCGTGGTACGCCGCCGCGGCCGCGGCTGGGCCATGTTGGAAGAAGTACGCACTCGGGTCCGTATGTTGCTGTCCAGCGCCGGCGACTATGCTACCGGGTGATAGGCTACGACTGCGCGGCGAGCTTTGGGAGACCGGTAATCCTGCACCAGCCGCAGTCGCCTGTTGCTGCTTTTTTTTTTGCTGCTGCTGCTGCGACTGATGCTGCTGTTGCTGCTGATGATGGTGGTGATGGTGAATCTGCTGCTGCATCGCTGCGCGCTGCTTTATATAGTTCGAGAACTCAGTGGGTGACATCCTGAAACCGAGCGGTACCGTGCGGTTCATCAATGGATCTGTGTATGCACGTGTATGCGTGGATCCGGGAATGGTAGATCGTCTCGCGGCCTGGTTAGTACGCGCGTTTTATTCTGTCGTGCTTGTGTGTGTTTCGTAAACAAAGTAACGCGCGCGCTATAATTAAATTCTATCGGCAATGTACGATCTTCTACGATAGATCGCACGTTTCGTTACTCTCTAATTTCAAGCATGCTTAGCTATTTCTACGATTATCTCGTTGCGAAGCGATCAACTATCCATCTAATAGCGATCCCACTGTTCAATTTGTTTTTTTATACCGCGGGAACTGTAACGTTAATTTCTAGTGATGGTAAATACGTAAAGGTATACCTGGGAAAATTGCAAGCAGCTTTCCACGAATATTTTACACATACAAATTGTGTTATCTACTTAGGAAACTCGAGAAGCGTAATGTCGAAAGACGCTAACAATCATAACATTTAAAAACAATTACTTTTTGCAATGTTTTTGGATAAACTGTGTAATTTGTAATTACAATTTATTCGTAAAAAATTGTAAATATACGTGTAACTCTGTATCGTTGTTCTTTCAATGCAACATTCCTCGAGTACCGATAAAATGCAACTATATTATCTACTACAAATCTTTATCGCAATAATTATATCATTCAGGAAAGAAATAATTATTTTTTGTTATAAAATCTTCGTCGCATAAACTCAAGATAATCATCATATAATTAGGAAAAAAAATTAAGATTTATTTATATTCAATTTTTCCACCGATATCAAAACTATTCGTCTTTGAACATCTCAAATAAATAAATTTTATTTCTACGGTGACAGCAAAAAAGTTGAGACAAGCGATCATTACTTTAAAGTTTCAACACCTTTTAAGTTTTAAGCCATAAATTGAATTCTATTTGACTAATCCAAAGCGGGAAGAAACATCAAACGGATGTACCAACCTGTTGGCGCGTTTGCTGCTAGTTTTGAGCTTGGTGCTGCCGAACTTGGTCTGGGCGAAGGTAGCGGTGGTAAAGGTGAGCGGGGCGGTGGTACGCGGGATGAAGGCCGGTACGGGGCTGGGCGAGCCCTTGAAGGAGCTGGTGATGGGCGTGGGTGAGGGCGCAGACGAGGAACCAGATCCGTGGCCATTCTGCTGGTTGTTGGACGAGCCATTGCTAGCGTTGCTGCCGAGGGAGCTCGAAAACGGCGAGGTTGATTTCGGACTGAGGCTGAGACCGCTCAAGGACGTGCTCACAGCTTCGATCGGCCTGAAGCACTGCGCCTCTGGATTGAAGGTCTTGGTGACCTCGCGATCGGCCGAGGTCTCGTCATGCGGGTCGCCGGTCTCCGAGTAGAGGATCTTCACGGCGTTCAGCTCGCCAATACGATAGCTCACCTCACCAGGATCAACCCAGACGGCGAGCTCGGCTGGCAGATTTTCCAGGATGTCCTGGATCGGCACACCGCTCTCTTTCGCGGCGCGCTCTAGCACCGGGTCGACTGGATCACCGGTCTTGAGGCACCTGAACGCCGAGCCCTTGAACGGCTTCTCCGGATACCAGTGGCCTTTGAACTTGTCCTTGAGCGCCTTCTCGAGTTCTTCGCCGAAGATGTTGACTCGTCTACGCGGCAGTTTATTGTAGAGATATGATATCACGAAGTTAAGCGCCACCTGCACCTCGATGTGCATCTTGGCCTTCGGTGGGAAAATCTTTGGGCTGTTGTCGTCGCACGTAGCGGCCGCGCTGGGATAGCACCGAGGACGTCCGCACGATTGGCCGTCTTGCCACGGGCGAGGGATTGTTCTGGATGGTATACGCCTGGCTAACGAAACTGCCGGATACTGCCGACGCTCCACGGCTCGACGGTCAATTTTTCAGTGCGCGCGGACTATCGTCTTGTGTCACAAGTCGTCAGTGTCCGAAGATCTGTAACATCCACAAATAGAAAGACTATGTCAGAAATGTACCGTATATTGGTTATATCTTCAAGGCGTTCAGGAATTTCAGGGTGCATTTTATCCTTGTCGTCAAATGTTAAAATGATACATGAGTGCATCCAGGTAAAATTTCTGAAAATACAGGATTCTTCAAGAGTCTTCTTTATTTAACTGTAGGTTTGCTTTGATAAAAATTTAAGATATATATCTGCACTCTCTCGTAGACATTCCTATCACAGCGACGTGATAGTCGACAAATTCCATACAATTTCGATTCAATCGCAAACGCACTTCGAAATGTCTATTCTATTCCTGCGAATCTTAATTACGGCCCTCCGATTCACAAATGAATGGCGAAGTTTGTCGAATACCGAATGGGAATATTATCGCGTGGAGCAGCGCCTGCTCGTACGCATTATCAGAGACCTACAATAGGTCGTGCCCCTCTCCTTCTCTCGAGTTGTATGCAAAGATCGAGATGTTCGTTGTTCCTAGCGTGTGAGAGAAGTGCGAAATCGCATCGTAGGAATTCGCCAGACTATCCTAGAAAAGGGCTCGCCTCGACCGGCTCTTGGTCGACAAGCGTTATCGGTTCCTTTCACGAGTGAGGCTCGCGCATTGAAATGGAACGCGGCTTCCGGTTACTCGCTCCGCTGTTTCTCGACCTCGCACGCTCAGGGAACCGAAACAGAATCGGTCGGATCGTTCCTTACCTCCATTTTCCTCACACCGAGAAACGTCCATAAGTCCGGATCCACAATAGGTGTTTTAAGCCTTAAGCCGTAAGAATTTGACCAATTACAGTCGAATTCGAGAAGAATAATCGATTATGATTCGTCGATTTCTTATGGCTTAAGGCTTAGAACTCTATTGTAGATCCGGGGTAAAAGATAATGTCTCTGAAGACTCGTGATTATCGACAAAAGACCGATTACTTTCATTGGCTGCGTTCAGCAAAGAAAATTGATCAATGAGCGCTCAGTGACTCTTTAATATTGGTTCTTGCTTTAAGTTTTTTTACTGGATTTAATTGTAAGTGTAGGAACGCAGCCAATGAGAGTAGTTTAACGAGGAATTAAATCCCTTTATTATCGTACGTAACTCAATCCATCTCATGTGTGTGGATTTAAACGTTTAAAATTACATGCATATTCAGTGGGGATATTATAGATTCATATTGTAAATGAGAAATAAAATAATAACGGAAAATGTTTATTTTGCGAAGCATCTAATGTGTTACGCTATGTGAAAAACGATCCAGTTAAAGAACGCCTGCACGAAGATCGAAGAACTCTCATATAATTGCAATTAATTAAAAAGTCGATTCTAAAGTTGATTCGTTACACGAACTGCTTTGTTGAACAGCACTTGTTTTCTTATGGTCCGATTTACAGAGATTACCAGATACACAACGTTATTTATAGAATATAGACCATCAAGTTTTATACGTTCATTTTATCTTTATTTTCGCCATCGTTGACGATCCTGAATTAAGCTTTCGCAATTCCGTTATTCTTTTACGTTCCGCCGCGTTCGTTTATATTCGAGGCTGTTTATGTGCGTCGTCGAGTGTTCGTCGCGTAAATTATGCACGCCGCGAAAGCGACATGCGCGTCATACGACGTTGGTCGTATAAAAATGCCCACGTCCGCAAACAGTCCTGTGACACAAACGAGGAAGAAGGAACGGGATGAGAGGTGATAAAAGGGATTGCTCTTAGAAGCGACGAGATTGCGCAGACGACTATCCGCCATTCGCGAGCCGCCGCCGCCAACAATTGCGGAAGTCGCTCTTTCTCGAAATGGCACCGAGAGCGAAAGGTGTTCTTTCCTCGATGCCTCTCATCCCCTTACTCCTCTCTCTCTCTCTCTCTCTCTCTCTCTCTCTTTCTCTTCATTCTTTTCTCGTAAATAGAGATTCTCGGACGTCTATCAAAGGCTCCTTCACGAACGCCGGGTATATCCGATGACCTCGAGCTGAGAATTTCGGAACTCGATTGCCCGTCTTCATTTGGCTTCTATCCTCCAACCCTTCACGGCGGCGACGTCGCGAGGGAAAATGGAGCTCGATCCGAGATAGGGAAGAAGAGACAGAAAGAGGAAGAGAAAGACGAAAATTGCAAAAAAGTTTTCATGACTTTCGGGCCGGTGACCCTCCAAAGATGCGAGGGTTGAGATGCGATACTTGCTTTTACCGACTTCTTTCACTTTTTCCTTTTACGGATTTTATTTCTTAAAGCATATAATTGTATGTAATATAACATATTTTGCGATTATTATTTATTTACAGAAGAATTTAATGATTCGAAATTAAACAAACATTGGAAATTTTTACCCTGGATATAAATTACAGCCAATTGCTTAAGTGCATAGTATTTATCATGCATGAAATACTAAAAGATACTTTCGATATTTTACCAGCTTGATATAATCAAATATAATTGTTTAATGGAAAATATGACTTACATTTGGTATATAAATGTTACAGGGATGGAGGTAATTTGCGTTTTACGTGCAACGGTGCATGAATCGCAATGAGATATTTCGACGGGGCAAGATAGCGGAAATGGGTTTTCCAACTTTCTTATCGAGAAACATTTCGTTGCACTCGCGGGTCGTTTCTCGCGGGCGATTTTACTCGGCGCATCTGCATCGCGTACCCGCATTTTTTTCTCCCCCGGCCCCTTCCTGTACTTGCCTCGGTGGCAAGTTTCCACCGGTGGGCTCTCAACCAGAGGTGGCGGATATGTAGGTTAAAGTTAGCGGCGGTCTCCATTTCCAGCAGTAGTAGTACATAACGGCGAGACGGGGGTGGTTGTAGGTATTGATCCCGCGGCAGGGTTGCCGGAAGGTTCTCAGGTTAAAAATATACGGCCTTGCGGCTCCCGTGCCTGACCAACTGCCTCACGAAGTGCCCATAATTTCCGCCACCTTGATTTTCCCGCGATATTTCTCGACCCGCAATATTTATCCGAAGTTTGTCGAGTTTGACAGTTGCAAAAAAAAATCGCGCCACACATTATTCCCTATTTCTTCCCCTCTTTCTATCTGAGAGAGATACCTTTTATCTCTTTTAGTAAATTATATTTTAAACAAAATAAAAATAGGACGGATCCAATTTTACGAAATTCTCATCGCTGCAGTTGTGCTAATATTATTATCGTCCGTGTAATTATTCTTTCCCTCTCGGGAGAGTGCAATCGAGCTCGGGAATGCCGGCGCCCTTTGTATTTACGCCGGACTGAATGGAGGTCGCGTGGCAGAAGAGGTGCCGGTATGTGGGCCGGAGATAAAGCGTCCTTCGGCGAACGAAGTCAATGGAGCGCGGGGGGTTCCCCGGTAAAACAGTCGGGAGTGATCCTCGATATTCTCGACGTGTGTACGACGCGGTGGGGCAACGTCGACACGCAATCGCGCCGAGACAAAGAAGCGGCGTACTCCAGCTAATTATCCCGCTACTCGCTCGCAATGCGGCCGTTTGATCGCGGTCGGACGCCGATCGATGTACATACTCGAGCGAGATACCCACGCGACACGTGAAATGTGACGTATCGTAACGCGACAAAAATGACATGAACAAGGTGATTCCCGACGTCACATCTCTTTATCTGTCTCGACGTTAAGACGTGATAGAATAACTGCTGTTAAGTATAGGATGCAATCGAACGAAAAGAGAGACATTATAGTTTGTAATCGAACGAGAAACTCAATTTTTAATTAAAAAGAAAAGGTAAATATACCTTCAGAAATGCTTTGAGAATTTAATGCTGAATGATTCCATCAAATATTTTTACATGTGAATTATATCACACTGAAAAATATATAAATTTTTGAAATTATTATTTATTGACTGGATTTATCTCTCTCTAAAAGACAATAAATTCTTTTACAAAAAGTACATAGAAACTCCAAAAGTATGATATATAAAAGCTTTTATTATAATAATATCTTTGAAGAGAAACGTATATTTACTTTTATTAATAATACATATATCTTTTCAAATTATATCTCCTTTTTTTAAATAATGTACACTAGCAATTGTACATTATTTAAATAATTAATAACAAACTATTATATTGATAATATGAAACAAATAGTTAAACGCAATAATTAAATAATATTCACTTCAAATAACATTCGTTTAATTCCTTCGCCTTAATTATTTCAAAAGCAGGAAAACGAATTAACCGTGACAATCATTTTCCAAATTACGCACTTGATTTGGAAACGCGCACCTAATTCCAAATGCCTGAGTCAATTATAGTAACACGAAGTGATCTCTGAATTCAGAATTCAGTGTGGTGGATTAAATCCGTCAGTGCGCGCGCTCAGCTCGCGTATATATATTCGCTTAATCGATCCCCAAAGAAACAGCGGAGAGAGTGGGAGAGAAGAGACAGCGCGCGAGGGAGAGCTGATTTAATTACACCGGCCTGTGCAAATTGGGTCAAGACGACGCCTCGCCGCCCGACGACGTCCCGGGGCGTCGCCGCTCGTCCCGGGAGCGACGTCTGCATCCTTCGGATCGGATAAGAAGCGTCGTTGTCGTCGATGAGGCTTTAAGCGACCGCGCACGAGCGAGAAAGGTCCAAAGTCAAGTTAAGAGAGTGCGGGGCGTCAATTCGCCGTACCTGTTTGAGGATTACTCCGGCCTACAGTCAGATAAGGAGGGAGAGGCACGCGTTCTTGCCGCGGCGATTACTCCATTCCAACGGGAGGAAACCGTGCGGAATCAAGTTGCGTAATCCGTCCGCCCGGGTTATACAACGAGTCACGTGCGCACGTCATAGCATTTATCACTGCAGTCAAGATGGTTAAAAGCACGCCGGAAGAAATCTACGTTCGTTCCGCAGATCTCTGACGATGGAACTTTCGCGAGCAGATGGATCAGTCGATAAAGTGGTTGTTTTTAATCCAAATTGTTGTTCTGATCGAATAGATTCAAAAAGAAATCGAATAAAGGAACAAATAATCGAATCACATTTACTTATTCATTCACAATTAAGAATTACCTGCTTGGAAATATCGAGCTTGAAGAAGTTCGAAACATATATACTTGGTTGAGTCTCGGCACTTTTCCTTCGGACGTAAGACTATATTTATTTATAGAGTTATATTTATGTCGGAATGTTTTTATCCGCAAATGGCGAAGAATCCCTTGTGCGTTCGAGAAACCCTTGGACGTGTTTATATGGACGTGAATCCTCACTTTGCGCTTGTAATTTCTAACATTCCTCTCGAGCACGTGTCAGATCCGAGTCGCGTGACACCGAGTCTGATCTCGTTTTCCACGCTCGACGTAAGCAGATGAGTCGTTCGAACTATAATAGTTTTGCGCACAATCTACATCGCGACAGCTACACGTAAGGATCATGGCACACAAAAAACCTTGCAGTAAGATGTAAGTAGTAAGGAAATCAACATGTTGGATTTGCTACACTGAGAAAAAAATGTACTAAATTTTAATAAATATTTGAATAGTGTCAACTAAACATTTTATACTTACGTAAATAAATATTTACTCAATAAAAAAAATGATAGTTATATGAAATTAATGGTTCTTGTATAAATAAATATATCTTTATATCTAGTAAATATTTAGTTAGCGCTATTCAAACAAATGATTTATTAAAATTCAGTTTTTTTTTCAGTGTACTGTTTACGTTATAGCCTTATATTCTCGACTATGATTAGCTGATTCGCTTACTACTTACATTGCTGAAGTTTTCATTACTTATATTTCATCACACATTTCATTACACATTACTCTTATTGCTGACGTTTTCTGTGTGCCATGATCTTTTCTTTCCTTTTTGCATTCGTGATGAACCGAATGCAATCTCCCGCAGTCTACACACAACGTAAATGACTCGGAGAGATTTTCATGACGTTCCAAAGGAAACTCGTGAGTTTTCCCGCAAATTATACCGGAATAAAACACTCCGCGGAATCTTCGAAAGCGTTTTCCTCATAACGTTTATTGGACGTCTTATTTATCGAGAATGCGGACTTCCAACAGCCATTGTGGATCGTCCTACTCTGGAGACGATTCTTATTGAACTTTATTGTGCGGGTTATAATAAACCGCACCTCGTCCCCTCTCGGACGCTACCCCCTTGTCCTCCTTCCATCTTCTCCCCTTGCCCCTGTCTTCCTACCGCTCGTCGCTCTTTCTCGAGCGCGGTGCCAGGCGGACCGACAGATCAATACGACACAGTCTCTGCAGACACAGGCGCTGCTGCTCCAGATAACAAGGCGAGAACGCGGACCTGCCCTATAAGCCTCCATTTAAATAGCGCCCCAAATACGTGTAGGTAAAACCCTGCCCCTCCCAAGGAACCGGAGATACCGACCCCTCTCCTAAGGACCTCTCGGGTTGGATACCCGGACCTGGGCCAAATTAGTATTATGTTATTCTTTTTGGCCCATCGCCATTGTAATTCTTCTGGAGTTGATCTTTTCAGAAACATTTGTTTTAAAATGCAAACAAAGCGACGGATAAACTTTTACTTGTACATTAAATTTATAATAGCATTTAATTAAAAAATTGAGGTAAAAAATTGGAAGAATATTTATATATTTAAAAACACGATATTTTATATTTGAAAATAAACATGGTATTACAAGAGAGACGAAATTGCACATTTTTTAATTAAATAAAAATTTAATTTAAATAAAATGGTAAACGGAATAGATATAATATAGACTGCAAATTCCCGATATCAGCATCTGTGCTCCGTTAGAAAGAATTGGATCATATCAGCATTTTTTTAACTCGATATTTTAAAGAGAGAGAAAGAGAGAGATATCATTATTTATTAAGCGCTCTATTAGAATCGAACTTTCTCAAGCACTAAAAAATCAAATACAAAATTGAGCAACAGAATAAGAGGTATTAAAACC